GGCCGGACCAACACTCAAGGTCTTAAAAAATAATTGAGAAGAATATGCTACCCTTCTATAACATCAAGAAATGGTTAGATATTCTAGTCTTCTCGGATAGGGACGAATAAATGGAGGTCCCGTCTCCTGCAGGGTTAGGGGCAGGAGACGTTAATTTCCCACGCACGAGATTACTGTGTGATGGATGTCCTCCCCTGGGGTGGGATGGGTGAGTAACAGGACCCCCGTTGATACCAGTGTTTACTACACTGAAGGGGCTATCCTGTATAAATATAGATGTCTGTCTGTCTGTCTGATTTCAAACTTCTTTCAAAGACATAATGAGCGGCGTTTTGTAATGGCTACTTAACTGTTTAGAAATTCCCGCCACGACGGCGTTCTCTCCCCAGTCTTATGCGGGTTTTGGAGTCCCCGTCGCCGTCCCCGCTCTCGTTGCTTAAAGTCCCTAATTTGCGAAACGAACAACGTCAGAAATACGATACCTTTAGTTTACAGTGACCTTCGGGAATGGTGCAACTGCGGAATGGCAGAACGGCGCAATAGCGGCGGAATAACCCACATCGCCGACGTATGCCTTGTTGTATGAAACAAAAGTCTCGCAAAAATGATATTGCAGTGAAATAAGACAATAATTGACAAACAAATGGAAAAATCAAAGTTAGAATTAAAAGAAGCATAGTTTAATCATTGTTAGACCTCAGAGAATAGACCGATAAAGGAACAGTGAGGTTCTTGAGCTAGCCCCATAAGTTATCATCATTATTGCTATTGTTATCATCATTATTATTATTCATTACTATTATTATTATTATTATCATTATTGTTACTATTATTATTGTTATTATTGTAAATATGATAATTTGTTTCCATGGGTGGTTGTGTGACAACTAGTCATTACATTCTTGCATCATCTTTCCCTTGTGGAATAAGCCTGACTCATAAATATGTGAGATGCGGCAGCAGTAGCCACATGCAGTCTTAAGTGCCTGTTTTTAAGACATGTTTCTTAGTCACGGAACTGAATAACAAAAAAGGGAGAAGAATGTCATAAGTGTCCAGATGACATCTGAGTATAAAGCTTTAAGAATCCACCAGAAGTTCGAGTAACGAGTGGACAAAACCTTTGAACCGAGATGATTTACATCGTTTTGCTAACGTCTGTGCAGCTGTTTTAAATATTGTCTCAAACAAAAAATCCTTTTCAACACCATCAAATGTCGAAAACAAATTTTCCAGGTCTGTGTTCTTGAGGTCTGCGTTTTCTGGGTGTGTGTTTTCGAGACAACCGTCATACAAACGTGGACAGAATCTGCCTGTTTTTAAACTGAAACAATAAGGACAGTTAAAGTTACTGAGGCTTCATGTGAAATTTTTTTTAGTCTATCCCTGTATTCCTCGACGATTTTGCGGCGCTCCCGCGGCGCCTGCTCTGGTCTTTCTTCGTTTTTGCTCGTTGACAACAGTAGTAGTGAGAGCGGCTCTTGTCGTGACTTAAGAGACAATCACGGTGGAAACCAGTTCAAGATATCCGCTGGTTCCCAGGTAACGCCGAGTGCCATTATTGGCCACCGTTGGATGTTTGTGGCATACAGCCCAGAACATTTCTCTTTTTCGTTGTTCAACCTAGGGGAATACCTTTTTTGATGACGGCTGGATTTCGAGTTTGACCCTCTTTATTTTCTAACTTTTTCACTGCTAATTGATATTGCTCTTCGAGGATCCCGATTTTCTTGTGATGCCGACGTTCGACAGGTCAAGTTAATTGTTGACATTATTTACACTGACAGTAAAACGAAGCATATAAATTGAGTTCATAACGTACGGTTTTGAGATGAATCACGTTGAAATGTAAGTGTCACGCTTTAGTGCTTTTGAAATGCGTTTGACATGGCTATATTTAGAACAAGGAATGGGAACGGAGGAATAGGGAGTTGGGAACGGGGAATCTTTAAACTGGTGATTCTCTAAAATGGGGAATCTTTAAAATGGGCAATCTTTAAAATGGGCAATCTTTAAAATGGGCAATGTACATGTTTACTTTCTAGGGAAGAGGAATAACAAGTTGAAACGTCTCTGTTCAATCCGTCAATGTTTTATAACAAATCAGAGAAAATGCCAAATTCTGGATTACGGGCAGATGACTCGTGTATTAATTGTATCAGCCGGTTGCCATAAAAGGAATGCCGCAGAATTAGGGTTCAAAATAGTTGTCAGCTTATAACAAAAATTTGTAGGCTTTTGTCAAGGCTCACTTTTTTTCTGGGTGTCAATAGTAAACGAGCAGTCAGCACATGTCATCAACACTCAATATGATTAAATTGCTAAACTAATTTCAGCATCAGAATCTCTATTTTGATCAACATGTTTTGTTGCAGCAATTTCCTTTCTAACAAAGCGTAGTGAACGGCTCAATTATTCGGTGTTTGTTCAAGCGTGTAGTATACAGCTTTGTACAGACAAACAGTCGCGCTTCTTCATCCACAGTCATGGGAAATCTGTACTGTCAAGCATCGACTTTAATTTGTACGCGTGAGAAGGCTTTACAACAGACATTATAGAAGATTTGGCGGAAAATATATCATGACTAAAGGTAGTATATACGTGCAGTAATACAAACACGGCAATGCGACGGTGTGTACACAAACTTCTATGTTTTACGCTTCGACAAATATGTAGAAAGCTAAGGTGGCCCAAAAGGCTCAAACACAAATCAATTTCCCAAAACGCAAATCAGAGTCCCAAAACACGAATCAATTTCCCAAAACACAAATCAATTTCAATAGACTGGGCATTGTGAACGAGATAGCCTGGAAATCAGAGTAACGAAATCAGGGCCAGAGTCTTTTGCGTCTAATATGGCGACTACGTGGGACTCGAGTAACTTTGTATCCTTGTAGTCCTTATAAGATGTTTTGCGGTCATTGCAGCAGTGTTGTTAAGGATACTTTTAAATTTTGCGTTAAGTGTGGAAATTCTATGATGTAATATGATGTCAACTGTACATGTTGACATCATATTACATGCAGGTGTAATTTTGCACTTAAAATATTTTGCGAAATGCTTAAAGAAATATTCCTCTAATTTTAAGAGCATGTCTGCAAAACAGTCTGTTTCAAAATAAATGCGCTCAATAACCATCTCTTTAAATGTGTATGTTATGAAGTCACACCGCTTTGCCCCAGATATTCCCATCTGGCCTTGAACTTGCTTATAGAATTTGTGAGTTGCCTTGAGCACTGGAAAGTCATCTATCATTCAAAATGGAACTGACGATCACCAGAGCATGCTGTTTGAGGGGCAACATTTCTGCGTTTGTAGGGGCATTTGATTTCAAGTATTCCATATGGTCTGTCCTTAGTTTCATCAATCACCTTGCCATCTGGAGAGCAACCAAGGAATGGATATGAAGGGTTTACAATGAAGCCTGAGGTGAAAGTCCTGATAGGATGGCCATTTTTAAAAATCGAGTTTCCAGATGGTCCTAAAAAAGGTTAATCCACCATGTTAGACGACAACGGCGAAGATAGGGCCACCAGGTTTTCATTCTTTGATTTTCAGTAGAAGGGCCATAACGATGTGATTTTATACAAGCTAAATCATCATCACAGTCAGCTCTTAAAAAACCACTGTGTATCTGCAATTCATAAATTCTCTGTTCTGCAGCCTGTTCGGAGCAATGAAGGACATTCACCGACCTCCTGAACATAGTCTAAAAAAAAGTTGCGGTTATTTCTGGATCATTATTGGTTCTATCTACCTTAAGCCACATTATCATGTGACTACAGCCATCAACAACCCCATGGATGGGAAATCCGAAAGGTTTCAGTTCATCATAACCATCCACATGCCAACAATAATTTGCTCCAGGAGACTCATACTTCCTTCTTTTTAGCCCGTGGCGCTTCCACTCTAGCTGAGTATATTGTTCTGATCAGAAATTCTACCTTTTGTCCTAGGGACAAACAGCCCATACTTTATACGAAGCATATGCCAAACTCCTCTGTAACAACACACGCCGCGTGAGCCATCTATCTCGTCTCGGATTAATTTCTCAACGGAAGGTATATTTATATCCACTTCATTCCTTTTAAGGTTGTATTCACACAACCTTTTCAATGTTGACATAGACATCGACATGTCATGGTACTTGTCAAGGAAGAGTAGAATAACCTTTTAACTGAACCCACTATAAAAGTAAGCCTCTATCGCTTCTTTCTCTACCACGTTTTCAGCTCAAATAATAGCCTAACAGAAGGTATAACAGTGTCTAGCTTGCTTCCACACTGAGATCAGTACAAATATTCTTCTCAAACTCAT